CACCCAGTTCTCCTCTGAATCATTCAGATGTTCATTGGCAAACTTCAGATGGGCCTGTATATGTGCTTTCTTGAGCAGGGGGACCTTGCGGGCGCTGGAGGATTTCAGTCCTTCACGGCGTAGTGTGTTACCAATTGTTTTCTTGGTGACTATGGTCCAAGCTGCCTTGAGATCATTGACAAGATCCTCCCGTGTAGTTCTGGGCTGATTCCTCACCGTTCTCATGATCATCGCAACTCCACGAGGTGAGATCTTGCATGGAGCCCCAGGCCGAGGGAGATTGACAGTGTTTTGTGTTGTCACCTTCTCACCAAGCTGCTTGGAGATGGTCTTGTAGCCCATTCCAGCCTTGTGTAGGTCTACAATCTTGTCCCTGACATCCTTGGAGAGCTCTTTGGTCTTGGCCATGGTGGAGAGTTTGGAATCTGATTGATTGATTGCTTCTGTGGTCAGGTGTCTTTTATACAGGTAACAAACTGAGATTAGGAGCACTCCCTTTAAGAGTGTGTTCCTAATCTCAGCTCGTTACCTGTATAAAAGACACCTGGGAGCCAGAAATCTTTCTGATTGCGAGGGGGTCAAATACTTATTTCCCTCATTAAAATGCAAATCAATTTATAACATTTTTGACATGCGTTTTTCTGGATGTATTTGTTGTTATTCTGTCTCTCACTGTTCAAATAAACCTACCATTAAAATTATAGACTGATCATTTCTTTGTCAGTGGGCAAACGTACAAAATCAGCAGGGGATCAAATACTTTTTTCCCTCACTGTATGTTGTAGTTTAGACCTTATTTTACATAATCTGAGGTGTTTGTGTTGTGCCCGCCATTGGATGAGACGCCATACTCTTGAATACAGGGTGGGTGGCATTTCAATCATAGAAATGTAGTTAATAGAATGGAAATATCCCTTCAGGCTAGGGCTGTGGCGGTCACGAAATTTCGTCAGCCAGTGATTGTCAAGCAAATAACTGTCGGTCTCACGGTAATTGATCGTTAATTAACATAAACACATTTAGCATCCATGTAATATAGCCTACACCGTCACAATAAATCCATTATTTATTTTAGACGGGTCTAAAGAAGCATGATATTGTCACGATCGTCATGGAGAGACCAAGGCGCAGCGTTGCGGGTGAACATATTATATTTTATAAATGATCCACACGATCCTAAAGGCGCGGACTCCGACCACGCCAACTAAATCCCACAGGGGAGGGACCGGGTGGGCACTCCGCCTAGGCGGCGGATCCGGCTCCGGACATGACCCAGGCACGGGTTGTGCTGGACTGACGACGCGCACCCCTGGCTTGGTGCGTGGAGGAGGAACGGGCCTTACCAGGCTGACGACGCACACCGTAGGCTTGGTGCGTGGAGCAGGGATAGGCCGGACTGGGCTGACGAAGCACACCACTGACTTGGTGCGGGGAGCAGGAACGGGCCGAGCCGGGCTGACGAAGCGCACCCCTGCCTTGGTGCGGGGCGCAGGAATGGACCGGACCGGGCTGACGAAGCGCACCCCTGACTTGGTGCGGGGAGCAGGAATGGGCCGGACCGGGCTGACGACGCGCACCACTGACTTGGTGCGGGGAGCAGGAATGGGCCGGACCGGGCTGACGACGCGCACCACTGACTTGGTGCGGGGAGCAGGAATGGGCCGGACCGGGCTGACGACGCGCACCACTGACTTGGTGCGGGGAGCAGGAATGGGCCAGACCGGGCTGACGACGCGCACCACTGACTTGGTGCGGGGAGCAGGAATGGGCCGGACCGGGCTGACGACGCGCACCACTGACTTGGTGCGGGGAGCAGGAATGGGCCGGACCGGGCTGACGACGCGCACCACTGACTTGGGGCGGGGAGCAGGAACGGGCCGCGCCGGGCTGACGAAACGCACCACTGACTTGGTGGGAGTGGCAGGAACAGGCCGGACCGTACTGGGAACACACACCACTGGCCCTACTTGAGGATCAGGAACAGGCCGGACCGGACTGGCAACACACGCCAGTACCTCTCGCCGTGCCTCTACAACCTCCTTCCCCCTGGTGGCCAGTGACTCCCGTAACCTGGCGGCCTCCTCTGCCAACCCGCTGGACCGCTCTATCGCGGCCTCCTGCTGCCCCGATGTCGTGAGCCCCCCCCTAAAAATGTTCTGGGGGTCTCTCCTCCCCGTCACGATCGTCATGGAGAGACCAAGCGCAGCGTTGCGGTGAACATATTATATTTATTAAATGATCACACGATCAAAACACAAACGAAAAACGTGACGTCTATGGTTAAACACCACCAACACGAACAAGAAACCACAAACACAACGTGAAAGACAGACAGTTAAATATGGCTCCCCAATCAGAGACACCCAGCTGACACTCGTTGCCTCTGATTGGGAGTCACTCAGACCAACATAGAAAAATCAAACATAGAATTACACACCCTGGCTCAACATAACATTGTCCCCAGAACCAGGGCGTGACAGATATGAAGAAAATGTAGTCTATTTCAGAAGAAAATAATAGCATACTCTGAGTTGTCCTTATTCTAGGTCCTGTTGTGGCTATGCCAAATGGCTGTGGGCTACACTAGTTCATTTAGCAGACAAGATTTGCTTATAATTCCATGGCATTATTTTATAGTATGAAGAATACAATTGAACAAAGCTGAATAAAATATAAATATTTTCTCCAAATGATTTGAGGGAGTGCGCACATGCGGCTATTCTGTGTTGAGCGGTTAACAAAGAAATAGGTACTCCTATATGCTTAATTTAGAGTTATTAATGTAACTTTAGTTGTTCTACAAACATTGGGCTATATGTTTTGATTTATAATGCATTGTAAGGCTGCACAATGAGACTCTAATGATGATTTGAGAAAAGTCGCTTGAAAGGCATGAGATCTACTTAGTTTTTTGCGCAGGCTGTACACACTCCAATAGTATCCAATAGTATTTTCCAATCGTTCTGTTCCGAGTAGAACTGCACATTTTTTTGTTCTGACCAGAAAATAACGTTTCGGCACCGGTTTCGAACCCCAAAAAAGTAACGGTTCATATAGTTCCTTTTCGTTCCTTTTTTTAACCTGTGAAATCAATCATGTTTTTACATTTAACTCATTAATTTACTCCACCAATTTGCGCCGATAGAGCAGCTTGCTGTGGAATGGATAAGATGGTTGTTTACATGTTTGACTGGACAGATAAATGCAGGTTCGAGATGCTACTGAAATTTCACGGGTGGAGAGAGAGCGAGAGGTGGACATGGAGGGGGCTTGGCTTGAAGTGCTGAACATCATGATGTGAATTGGAATGTGTTTAGGCTATTACTAGCATTATAACGTTACTGAATTACAGAATTATACACTAGAAATTAGGAATATTTTTGGAACTAAAAATAACATTATTAACCAGTTGTCAAGATTTGAAAATAACGGTTCTGTTCCGGAACACTAGAGATCACTTTCGTTCTTTTTCGGTTTTTGGTTCGGTTCCCTGAACTGGTTCCAATCCCTGATTTCCATTCAAGTCACATTTTCTGATTTGTGGATCTTCCACCATCTTTGTGCTACTATTTGAAAGTTAAAATGTCTATTGTACCCCCATTTTAGTACATATATCAGCCAAAACATGACACCCACCCTGTATTCAAGAGCATGCTGTGTCTCAACCGATGGCAGGAACAACAATAAACACCTCAGATGATGTAAAATAGGGTCTAAGCTACAACAAATGCGAAAAATAACAAATAAAATTAATGTTTAAGGTAAAAAAAAAAGACAATTCTTTATTAAAAGTTTTTTATATACGAAATTATAAAATAGTTGGTCAACCCGGTTTGAAAGCTTTTAAATGATCAAACTCAGCCGTGTATCTTTTCCAGTGATGAAGATATGGATGTCTCATGGTAGGGTGGGTATGCAAAATGGATCAACTTTGAGCACCTCTCTACTTTCTGACCACTTCTACTATGGGCAAATATATATAGAAAGTTTCGTTAAATTTTTTTCGTTTAAAAAGTGATTGAAATCAAATGGAATGACCCTTATGCCACTACTGTTGAGTCATTGTTCTATCACGGTTTGTGGTTTGAAGTTATTTGTGTTGCAATAGAGAGAAATAGTAATTACGTATTTTTGTAAGCACTAACTCTACCATGGTTCGTTGGACAAAGCCTATGGAGAAAATGAATGGCGTTTTTGTAAAGGTTTTGTATAACGCCGAAAATAAGGTCTGTGGTGAACACAGGATTAGGAGATCTTTAATGTTTGGTTCTATGAGATCATCAGCTAATTTTGAAGAATTTATGTAATTTTTAAAAACACAAAGGCTTCATAATTCATAAAGGTCATGTTAACTGACAGCTATTATCTCATATAACAAAACCTATAACATCTCCTAAGCCTGTGTTAACCTCTGACCTTATTTTCTGAGTTTATTCCAGAACCCTATTCTTTCGCCATAAATTTTTCCCACTGGGATGCCTGAATGACCCAGAGGTAGCTCATTTCCGGGTTTTAGGACTACAAGCTGGCGAGCTCTATAGAGCCCCCTCCTTATTATGAGCGGAATCCTAATTTCAGATATTTCAGATCGGTCTTGAGCTAAAATCGTCCATTGGCCTCAACTGAAGATATATCTGAACATTTGAGTTGCGGGTGCACATCTCAATATTGGTTTTGTGTTGTAGATATGTAGCAGTGTTTTTTGTGATGTGCCTTGTGTTTGGGGATCCATAATAATCATAATCATAATAATAAAGTCAGGATTCAATTCATCCCCTCAAACTCAACTCTGGACCTCGAAGCCAGTTCCACTGCATTTTTTCATTGTTCCCCTCTAATCAGGAACTGATTTAGACCTAGGACACCATGTGTGCGCAATTAATGGTCAGGTAGAACAGAAAACCAGCAGGCTCCGTACCTCATAGGGTAAGAGTTGAATACCCCTGCGTGCTATCACACTTGCCTTAGAACTGTGATATTAATTGTTTTCTTTCTTTCTTTGTTCAGGTCCCGACCTTGTGAAGACATAGTTGAGAGCACCATGCAGAAATTGGACGGAACCACCAGTAACATACAGTGACTGGAAACAGAGGGAGAAACTGGGGAGAAGAAGAGCAGTATGGCAGTCTTTAATAAGCTCGATAATGTGGAAGACCTCTATGAGATTGGAGAAGTAATTGGGAGGTAAGGATGGTCATTATAAAAGGTATTCTTGTATGAGGCTGTTTAAGTGAGGAAGGTATTATAACTCTGAATTCAGTTACTTTTCAAGGTCAATTTTGCATATGCTGTCTTGTTGCATAGGTCAATGTTAACTCAAATTCAATGTAAGCAATTGGAATAATAAATAAATGGACCGAATTGTGAATAGAAAGAAAGTACTCATGTCTGAGTCTTGTTGCTTTTCAACATCACAAATGACATTGCAGGACAGCTACATAAATAAATATGTGTTGTGTTCAGGAGGAATGTATTTTTATTGGACAAGCTCAGGTAGTACCTACCCATTTCAAAACGTTTCCAAACAACTAAATAAATTGTTGCACTCTGTCGCCGCCCCAGTGGCCACTTTGGGCAGGTGCGGGAGGTGCGCGAGCGGGCCACAGGGGCTCGCTGGGCTGGGAAGTTTCTGAAGATTAGGAAGTGCGCCAGCAGCCGGCTGGGCGTGGAGAGGAAGAGCGTGGAGCGGGAGGTGGAGGTCCTGCAGGCCCTGCAGCATCCCAACATCATGGCCCTAAAAGATGTGTTCGAGAGCCGGGCCGAGGTGGTGCTGGTGCTTGAGCTGTGAGTGGAGGAGGGAGAAAACAATACTATTTGAACCCAGGTCATACATGCAGGGCAAGTCATTGATTCCATTGAAGTGGCTGAATTATGTAGTAGAGTTAAGTTCTAACACTCCTCTCCATTTATTTTCCTCCTTTCTCTTTCAGTATTAATGGAGGAGAGCTGTTTGACTTCATCGCTGAGAAGGAGAACCTGACAGAGAGCGAAGCCATCGAGTTCATGAAGCAGATACTACTGGGCGTGGGCTTTATGCACAGCAAACAAATAGGCCATTTTGACCTAAAGGTAAATTATGCTAATGTATTGATTTTACATACTGCAATAGTCTGTAGTAGTGATTTACCTCCCCAATAACACTGGTAATGTAGTAGTACGCATAAAAATAGTAACACATCAAAGCCTGTTCATTTATTTAATCTAAAATCCCAGGCCTTTAGGTATAAGTACTTGAAGTGAAAAGAGCATATCTGTATTCATCCATCCCAAAACAAACATGCTGACACGGCTACTTATTAGCAGAAACATCCACAGGTGCCACTAAAGGGAGTGTGCCTGTTCACTAGTGTTGACGAACATGCTGTTTGCGTGCTGGTTGGTCAGCATGCAGTTGACCATTATGGTCAGATTGACCTCATTTTGCATGTAACATGTTTACTCCCCTTCCCCGATCAGCCGGAAAACATCATGCTGTCAGACAAGATGGCGCCAAACACCGACATTAAGATCATCGACTTTGGGCTGGCCCACCGCTTCCAGCCAGGGGAGGAGTACAAGTGCATGAGTGGCACCCCCCAGTACATTCGTGAGTAGTACAGTCCTTTCATATGAGTTAGGCCCAGTTTAAATACCATGTAAATGCATCCTTCCTCTACCGTCGCTGTGATGTACTTACTGACATGACTGGATTCTTGAGTACTATGTAGTGAAACCCATCGCTTACGTTATATCTAATTGTCCCACCAGTGATTGAGGTAGGAAGGATACTGAAGAAAAGGACTAGGACAGACTAAGCTAGGTTCAGGACTGTTTCTGCCACCATGGTGCATCAGTCAGAATGAGAATCAGGAGATGGAGCCGGAATCCAGGTTTAGGGGTATTTATTACACCAAGTTAGAACACAGGAACAAACAGAGGTAGGGCTTGTAAGGGCGGTTAGAAGGATGTGCTTTAGGATGTGGCTTGTAAGGCCTTGGAGATAGGATTGGATGTAGTGGTCTCGAAGGGAGTTACAAAAGGGAAACATTATGAACACAACATAAAGCTGCACACATGACAAAGTAATTCCTTGTGACTTACAGGGAATGGGCTTAACATAAAACTAAAAACTAAGGAGGCTGCCAGGGCTAAACATAAAAGGTGCATTAGCATGGATATAAAGGATACAACATAACAAGTTCAGGCAGCATAATATACATGGTTAACTTACTTAATCATATCAAGCAGGATGGCATCACCAAGAAAACTATTATAGTGTGTAGGAAGGAGCATACCACTTAAATAGGACCTGAAAGGGGTGGAAAAAGGCGGTGGTGGCATGATTTAGGAGTGGAAACAGGTGTGGTGGAAAGGGGCGCGGTCTAGGGTAATTGGAGACAATTAGAAGACTGTATGAGTGGCATGACCCTTCACAACAGATGCATTATTAAAGAATTGGAACAGGCCACTTGTAATGCAGTGCCTATGTGGCTGAGGTCCCTACTGTGTTCTGTGGAAGTGAGCGTGTATTTCCAGGTCCAGGGGTTTCCATGGAGACCGTGCAAGAAGTGCAGTGTCATGATCTGGGTTGATGGTGTTATGATAAACTAGGGTGGTTGCAATTCCAGTTGAAACAGGAAGTGATTTGGATGATGTAGGATAGTTGCCATTTCAGTCATAACTAAAATACACCCCCAACCCAGACCATTTTAAGAAACCTCTTATCAATATAATAATTATATTCTACATATATTCAAAATCGACATATTATTAATTCAGCATATCACAAAACAAAAATGCATGATAAAGCAAAAATATCCTTAAAATCCAATTAGATTTGTAAACCACAGGTAGTTTGCCCCAAGACAAAGAGCTGTTGTCAAACACTAGCTGCTTCAACACAGATTTGGCCAGCATGATAAGGTTGGCATGGTTACAAATCTTTTCCTGTTTGGAATTCAAATGTTTTTTCCCAGCAGTAGCAGCGACAGTACTGTAGGTTTAAATAATACAATGCAACTGGTGGAGGAAGTTATCTCAAAGCCACTGGGGTTGTTTGACTTGTAGGAACAATCTATTAATGGTTTTCTGACGAATGCAGTGTTCAGTTTGCATTCTTAACTATGTGAAATTGTTCCTTCAGGCAGTGTGAAGTCTGACAGGCCTTCTGGGCTTGTCATAAATGCAGCTACATGCATAGACAAGTGTCTCCGATTGCTTTATTGGAATGAAATACAATTTGTAGATATTGCCAAAGCAGTATAGTGGTAGAGCATTTCAGTAAATACAAGGGAAAGGGGATACCTAGTCAGTTGCACAACTGAATGCATTCAACTGAAATGCGTATTCCTCATTTAACCCAACCCCTCTGAATAAAAGAGGTGCGGGTGCTGCCTTAATCGACGTTCACGTCATCGGCACCAAGGGAGCAGTTTTTGTTGTTGGGGGTTAACTGCCTTCCTCAAGGGCAGAACGGCAGATCTTTCCATCTTGCTGGCTCGGGGATTCGAACCACCGACCTTTCGGTTACTGGCCAAATGCTCTAAACTGCTAAGCTACCTAGTAATAATAATAGTACATAAACATGATTCTTTTTTAAAATCTCATCTCTCTCTCTCTCAGCCCCTGAAGTGATCAACTACGAACCTCTGAGCACAGCTGTCGACATGTGGTGAGTGTGTGTACTGCCGTCTCTTCCAACCTACACACTTGTATATACAGACACCTAAATGGAACCTCAAAACACACCCATCCCACACCCCTGATATATACGAAAAATGTCCCCCTTCCATCTTGATGAATAAGCCCTTGGGATGCGTTTGGGCGTGTGTAGGCACGCTTTCCCTAAAAGCAGTGTGACTGTTTCTGGTTGAATGCATTAGGTACACCCTATGTGTTCAGACACTGTATAACAATCTGATTCTCTAGTGGGTTTCGGCTAGATACTGTGTTGTTTTTTTGACACAGAAATGAACTGGTCGGAGTCTGGACCAACGGAGGGTTGGACTTGATTGTAGTACAGTAGAATATGAGTGTATCCAGACGCACTCCAGCCCAGCGTTAATAAATGGTGCTCAAAACTGAGGGACTTTAAAAAAATAAAAAATCGTACCCCAGGACACTTAACATTGTGACTATCCCCCAAAAAGTAAAGGAGCATTCAGATGTCTGCGTTGATCTTTGAGGTTTATTTTAGGGACAAACAGACAGGCTTATGTTTTTGATGTGTCATGCCCCTCCTCCAGAGCCTTAGACAGGAAACTGCCAGAGGAAGCTGATTATAGTACTTTTAGAAATATGAAAGCAAGCGTTAAAAAACTACTCACCACAACAGCTCTAATGTCTACATCCTTTGGAATAAAGTTAAGATATTGAGATAAGAACTGTGTCTCTCTAGGCCTCTGTGATCAAAATAACCACAACTAAGTTCTTTCTTTGTTTGTGTTTGCCTCCCCCAATAGGAGCATCGGAGTGATCACCTACATACTGTAAGTTGGGGGAGAAAATGGGGGTGCTACTGTATGTTTGGATTCACACATACAGCATTCTGTTACGTTACAGCCTCATTCTAAATTGATTAATTGTTTTTTCCCGTCATCAATCTACACACAATACCCCATAATGACGAAGCAAAAACAGGTTTGTTATACATTTTTGCAAATTTATAAAAAAAAAAAACTGGAAATATCACATTTACATAAGTATTCAGACCCTTTACTCAGTACTTTGTTGAAGCACCTTTGGCAGCGATTACAGCTACGAGTCTTCCTGGGTATGACGCTACAAGCTTGGAACACCTGTATTTGGGGAGTTTCTCTCTTTCTTCTCTGCAGATCCTCTCAAGCTCTGTCAGGTTGGATGGGGAGCGTCGCTGCACAGCTGTTTTCAGGTCTCTCCAGAGATGTTTGATCGGGTTCAAGTCCGGGCTCTGGCTGGGCCACTGAAGGACATTCAGAGACTTGTCCCGAAGCCACGCCTGCGTTGTCTTGGCTGTGTGCTTAGGGTCGTTGTCCTGTTGGAAAGGGAACCTTCGCCCCAGTCTGAGGTCCTGAGTGCTCTGGAGTAGGTTTTCATCAAGGATCTCACTGTACTTTGATACGTTCATCTTTCCCTCGATCCTGACTAGTCTCCCAGTCCCTGCCGCTTAAAAACATCCCCACAGCATGATTCTGCCAAGCCATGTCGAAGGAATTGTCCGTAGAGCTCCGAGACAGGATTGTGTCGAGGCACAGATCTGGGGAAGGGTACTAAAACATTTCTGCAGCATTGAAGGTCCCCAAGAACACAGGGACCTCCATCATTCTTAAACAGCAGAAGTTTGGAACCACCAAGTCTCTTCCAAGAGCTGGCCGCCCAGCCAAACTGAGCAATCGGGGGAGAAGGGCCTTGGTCAGGGAGGTGACCAAGAACCCGATGGTCACTCTGACAGAGCTCTAGAGTTCCTCTGTGGAGATGGGATAACCTTTCAGAAGGACAACCATCTCTGCAGCACTCCACCAAATAGGCCTTTATGGTAGAGCGGCCAGACGGAAGCCACTCCTCAGTAAAAGGCACGAGCACTCAGGACCTCAGACTGGGTCGAAGGTTCATCCAGACCACTCAGGACCTCAGACTGGGGGCGAAGGTTCACCTTCCAACAGGACAACGACCCTAAGCACACAGCCAAGACAATGCAGGCGTGGCTTCGGGAAAAGTCTCTGAATGTCCTTGAGTGGCCCAGCCAGAGCCCAGACTTGAACCCGATCGAACATCTCTGGTGAGACCTGAAAATAGTTGTGCAGCAACGCTCCCCATCCAACCTGACAGAGCTTGAGAGGATCTGCAGAGAAGAATGGGAGAAACCTCCCAAATACAGGTGTGCCAAGCTTGTAGCATCATACCCAAGAAGACTTGAGGCTGTAATCGCTGCCAAAGGTGCTTCAACAAAGTACTAAATAAAGGGTCTGAATACTTATGCAAATGAAATATTTCCTTTTTGTCTTTTTTAAAAATAAATTAGCAAAGATTTATAAAAACCTGTTTTTGCTTTGTCATTATGGGGTATTGTGTGTAGATTAATGAGGAGAAAAAAAACAATTGAATCAATTATTGAATAAGGCTGTAACCTAACAAAATGTGGAAAAAGTCAAGGGGTCTGAGTACTTCCCGAAGACACTGTGTATGTATATATATATATTCCCCTAACCCTACCACCCCTCCCCAAATGTAGAGTAAACTAATGGACAACACTTAGGCTTCCACTTCCAGCTTATACATACTATATACATTTTACAGACACAGTATATTTTTACAATAGCTATCTTTTGTTTGTTTTTAGTCCCATCCTTCAGCTACCCTCAACCCCTTCCATCTATCTCAGAAGACCATCCAGTTTTGATTTCTATTTGCCATATATTTTTCAACTGTGCTGTGATGTTTCACAAAAGTTCTGAACCTTTCTATTCTAATAGTTTCTACAGATTAAAGATACATTTAAAGATAAACAATTTTGCTAAGAGTATTATTATATTATTGATCGATTTACTATGACTTTTCAAATCACCCAGCAGTGCTATTTGCAGAGTTAATCAGATAGGTATTAGCATTGTGGCAATAGCACCATCTTCCTCTCTCTTGACTTGGAATTGGGCAATAGTAACATCAACCTTCTTTCCTCCGACTCCCCTTTATTTTTCCAGACTGAGTGGTATGTCCCCGTTCCAAGGGGACACGGACGAAGAGACGCTGAGGAACATCATAGCCCTGAACTACAAGTTTGATGACCACCACTTCAGCATGACCAGCGCCATGGCCAAAGACTTCATCCAGAAGCTCTTCGTGAAAGATCAAAAGTAAATAATGCATTGGTCATGGGTAATTTGGCCTATTACGATGTCCTTTTACGATGTCAATACAAATATGGAATGGTGACTGGAATAGTGAATGCATCACTTATTTTGTGTTTTTTTTCAGCCACTATATTTTATTTTCAGCCTCTATTGATAGAATAGGAACTGTGTATTGTATGAATAGATCACCCTTTGTCTGTCTCTCTGTGGTTACTTGTCTGTCTCTGTGTAGTGAGAGAACGACAGCTGAGAATGCCAGCTTTCTATTTCAGACGCTATTGATAGAATATGAACTCGGGTATGAAATTAATAGATTACCGCCTGTAGTGTCTGTGTCTGTGTGTGCACTGTTCTTATTGTCTCTCTGTCGGTCTGTCTCTGTGTAGTGTGAGAATTACAGCTGAGGAGTGTCTACACCACCCCTGGATCAAGGTGAGAGTCAGCAGCACAAGGCTTTGCACCTTACAAACTGTTTAATATGTGAAGGATAAACGCTAACCTTGGAATTAGTGGACAACGCAGCGGGACGAGGCGGAGTCGAGGTAATGTACAGAACGTTGGCGTTTATCCCGCTTATACCACAGTTGCCAAAGAAAACAATACTATAAGCACACATTTACTGCTAGAAATAAAACATTTTCGTTAATATTTTCATTTATATAAGCAAATTCATACTTTCTCATCTTTTGGTTGCTAGAGACGCGACCCAGTCGTTCGTTCGATTACTTTGATATTTATGGACGTGACCCAGTCGTTCGTTCTTTATGTTCCGTTGCCATGCTCGCTGGCAATGTTCTTATCCATTGCTTGGCTAACACAGTCACGACCTCTGCAGTAGCTGTTTTCTATTGACATTCATTTGGATACATCCATAACAATGAGCTGATAATGCCCGATTTTGCCTGGCATAGCTAGAAGAGTTTGCCTTCTCATCAGGACACTCGACACTGTTCATTACGAGGAGATTGCATTTCATATCAAACACTAGGCTAGAAGCTAGCTAAATAGATTGTTGCTAGCAAACCTGCCAATATAACAAGCAAATAAAAAAATATCCGTTGCTGAAAACAGCTGGTCAAACCAGAAACGTGGTAATATTTGACAGCATAGCGCCACTTGCGTCTTGAATGCAACAGTAGGGACCAGAGAAATTAATTTTCATCACTCACCACGTTAGGACATCAGATGCTCCCCAAAAAAATTTCTGCAAAAACAAATCAATGGTAGCTAGTTGTTACCTACCCTTACCACCTGGGGGCGGCCCGTCAGGAAGTCCAGGATCAAGTTGCAGAGGGAGGTGTTTAGTCCCAGGGTCCTTAGCTTAGTGATGAGCTTTGAGGACACTATGGTGTTGAACGCTGAGCTGTAGTCAATGAATAGCATTCTCACGTAGGTGTTCCTTTTGTCCAGGTGGGAAAGGGCAGTGTGGAGTGCATAGAGATTGCATAATCTGTGGATCTGTTGGGGCGGTATGCAAATTGGAGTGGGTCTAGGGTTTCTGGGATAATGGTGTTGATGTGAGCCATGACCAGCCTTTCAAAGCACTTCATGGCTACAGACATGAGTACTACGGGTCGGTAGCCATTTAGGCAGGTTACCTTAGTGTTCTTGGGCACAGGGACTATGGTGGTCTGCTTGAAACATGTTGGTATTACAGACTCGGTCAGGGACAGGTTGAAGATGTCAGTGAAGACACTTGCAAGTTGGTCGGCGCATGCTCGGAGTACACGCCCTGGCAATCCGTCTGGCCCTGCGGCCTTGTGAACTTTGACCTCTTTAAAGGTCTTTCTCACATCGGCTACGGAAAGCGTGATCACACAGTCGTCTGGAACAGCTGATGCGCTCATGCATGCTTCAGTGTTGCTTGCTCAAAGCGAGCATAAAATTAATTTAGCTTGTCTGGTAGGCTCGTGTCACTGGGCAGCTCGCGGCTGTGTTTCCCTTTGTAGTCCGTAATAGTTTGCAAGCCCTGCCACGTCCGACGAGCGTCGTAGCCGGTGTAGTACGATTCAATCTTAGTCCTGTATTGACGCTTTGCCTGGTTGATGGTTTGTCGGAGGGCATAGCGGGATTTCTTATAAGCGTCCGGGTTAGAGTCCCACTCCTTGAAAGCGGCAGCTCTACTCTTTAGCTCAGTGTGGATGTTGCCTGTAATCCATGGCTTCTGGTTGGGGTATGTACGTACGGTCACTGTGGGGACGACGTCATCGATGCACTTATTGATGAAGCCAGTGACTGATGTGGTGTACTCCTCAATGCCATCGGAAGAATCCCGGAACATATTCCAGTCTGTGCTAGCAAAACAGTCCTGTAGTTTAGCATCTGCATCATCTTACCACTTCTGTATTGAGCGAGTCACTGGTACTTCCTGCTTTAGTTTTTGCTTGTAAGCAGGAATCAGGAGGATAGAATTCTGGTCAGATTTGCCAAATGGAGGGCGAGGGAGAGCTTTGTAGTGGCAGGGGACTCTGTGTGTGGAGTAAAGGTGGTCTAGAGTTTTTTCCCCTCTGGTTGCACATTTAACATGCTGGTAGAAATGAGGTAAAACTGATTTAAGTTTCCCTGCATTAAAGTCCCCTGCCACTATTAGCGCCGCCTCTGGATGAGCATTTTCTTGTTTGCTTATGGCCTTATACAGCTCGTTGAGTGCGATCTTAGTGCCAGCATCGGTTTGTGGTAGTAAATAGACAGCTACGAAAATATAGTGCACGTTTAGTATGTGTATTTGTTTTTAATCTCTACATTGGTTAATTTAATCTCCTTCACTTATTATCTCTCCCACTCTTTTAGCCTCTTACACAAAAACAGGTTGCCAATAGGAATCGCTCCTCCATCAACATGAAGAACTTTAAGAAGTTCAATGCCAAGAGGAAATGGAAGGTCAGTAGGATATATGTCCTATTTATATAATATCATTTTATGCCATATCACATATTATTATGACACTGAATAAAGCCCAAATCTTGGAAATATGCATGTGTTTTATTAAACAGATAATGAAATCAAACTGAGGTCATTGCTACATAGTCAATTATTTTCTTCTGGAGCTAAATGAACAAATAGGACATGAACGTGAGGCAGCAATGTTTTGTTCGAAAGGCCCTTTTCAAGTCTACTCCCTAAGGGGCAAACCAGCTTTCAAAAGAATAGGCTGCGAATTTTGTTAAAAGGCGTCAAAATATTTTAAAGGCATGCGAAGTTTGGTAGGCTACGAAATATTTCAGGCTGAAGTTTGGTCAAAAGCTGCTAAAATATTTCGGTCTGCTCAATATTTCGGCCAGTGAAATATTTCATGCTGTGAAGTTTTGTGAAAAGCTACTAAATAGTTTAATATTTCAAAGACCATCTAAATATTTCAAGCCGAAAAGTTTGTTAAAGAGAAATATTTTTCCCTGCGATGTTTGTTGAAATGAACACCACTAGCTAGTTAGCTACGTAGTTAGCAGCGGTAACAAGTTAGCTACGACGTTAGCAGCGCTAGCTAGTTAACTACATCGTTAGCAACCCTAGCTAACAACGCTAGTTAGCTACATCATTTGCAGCGCTAGCTACAACCATAGCAGCACTATCTATTCAGCTATGTCATTAGCAGCGCTAGGTATTTAGCTATAACATTAGCAGCGCTAGCTAGCTACATCACTAGCTAGCTACGTTGTTACTAACTGCTAACAATATTTAGGGGTGGGGGGAGTTGTCATGTCCGCAGAAGAGTGGGGGCGAGGGGGGTTGAGGGTTGAAGTAATACGTATATCACCAAAGAAGAAGCAGAAATAGGATAAGAAAACACCCCTCCATTAAAACCCCCAGAAGAAGACCATTACCCATGTCATGATTAGGGATCCAAGTCCTGGATGTCGCCCTGATATAGTGTACTGTACATTGTAACGTTGAAAGAACTTTGATTGCCTTCAATGGTTACAGCATTTATTAAAAATCTGTTTTACAAAATAATGACTCGAACTTGGGGAAATTTCCAGTAGAGGTGAGAAGTACCAGAAACTGATTCCCTAATCATATGACAAGGGTTGAGGGTTGAAGTCATGCATTCGGAAAGTTTTCAGACTTTCCCCTTTTCCACATTTTGTTATGTTACAGCCTAATTCTAAAATTGATTAAATTGTTTTTTTCCCCTCATCAATCTACACACAATAAGGCAAAAAAAAGTATTCAGACTAGTCTCCCAGATGGCCACTGAAAAACATCCCCACAGAATGATGCTGCCACCACCATGCTTCACTGTAGGGATGGTGCCAGGTTTCCTCCAGACGTGACGCTTGGCATTCAGGCCAAAGAGTTCAATCTTGGTTTCATCAGACCAGAGAATCTTGTTTCTCATGGCTTGAGAGTCTTTTAGGTGCCTTTTGGCAAACTCCAAGTGGGCTGTCATGTGCCTTTTACTGAGGAGTGGCTTCCGTCTGGCCATAAAGGCCTGATTGGTGGAGTGCTGCACAGATGGATGTCCTTCTGGAAGGTTCTCCCATCTCTACAGAGGAACTCTAGAGCTCTGTCAGAATGACCATTGGGTTATTGGTCACCTCCCTGACCAAGGCCTTTCTCTCCCGATTTCTCAGTTTGGCAGGGGGGCCAGCTCTAGGAAGAGTCATGGTGGTTCCAAACTTCTTCCATTTAAGAATGATGGAGGCCACTGTGTTCTTGGGGACCTTCAATGCTGCAAATATTTTTTGGTACCCATCCACAGATCTGTGCCTCGACACAATCCTGTCTCGGAGCTCTACGGACAATTCCTTCGACCTCATGGCTTGTTTTTTGCTCTGACATGCACTGTCAACTGTGGGACCTTATATAGACAGGTGTGTGCCTTTCCAAATAATGTCCAATCAATTGAATTTACTACAGGTGGACTCCAATCAAGTTGTAGAAAAATCTGAAGGATGATCAATGGAAACAGGATGCACCTGAGTTCAATTTCGAGTCTCATAGCAAAGGGATGAATACTTATGTAATAAGGTATTTCTGTTTTTTATTTGTAATAAATTAGCAAAAATGTCTAAAAACCAGTTTTCGCTTTGTCATTATGGGGTATTGTGTGTAGATTGATGAGGGAAACATGTATTTAATCCATTTTTAGAATAAGGCTGTAATGTAACAAAATGTGGAAAAAGGGAAGGTGTCTGAATACTTTCCGAATGCACTGTACATTTTCTGGTACTTCTCACCTCTACTAGTTCTTTCAGCGCTACAACGTACACCATATCACCAGTAGCGGTGCGTGGGTAACATCACTGGGGAGGCCAGGAAAAAAATGCCATATTACAACCTATGTGTTGTGATAATTGCCTTGTTTGCTCTATAACCTGTAAGGTCATATGCCTTGCAACCTGATATATAGGCCTAAGGCTTAGACAATAAGAAGACAGTAGCAGAATAAATTCATCACAAAACTGGAGAGCAACATCTGTCTGGTGAAATCCACAAAGCATATTAGATGTAACAAACCGTTACATGACCTACAGCATGGTCAATCAAGTTAATGTTTCAGACATTTTCGGACTACTAAACAACTATTGACTTAGAACACCAGAGAGATACCGTCAGTTGCAAAGAAAACAGGAGCTGCCTCCACTATTCCAGCACCATTTCAACTTCAACATTTCAACAGCATCACAACACCTATGCTTAAGTCTAATACAGTGACAACTAAAAAATTCCAAAAACAATTTAGTCCAATCAACGTAAGCTAAATATCATGGTCCATGGTACTGATTTCTCTGTGTGTGTTTGTGTGTAAGCGTAAGTATTTTTTTTTAAACTGTTGATTCACCCTACTTCTAGAGAAATGCAATTGCCATCCTCCTCTCTTTCATGTTGCCGAAACGGTCTATGACTATCACCATTATAATCATTGGCCATTCGCCATCCCTATCTCCATCCATGGCTAATTTAGGAAAGGGCCAATTTTAGTTAGCTAGCTAGCCACCCGAGGACAATAACACAACAAGATTCAACAATTCAAGTATTTTTCTGTCAATGACGTTTGGCTTCAGATGTAATGTGATTGGTGTGAAGCCAAATCCAAACTGGCTTCCGATGTAATGTGATTGGTGTGAAGCCAAATCCAAACTGGCTTCCCTTGACACTCTAGGACCATTCATAGTTGAGCTCACTCAGTTTAGCTCAACGCTGATTGGCTATTATTGTATAAAAAATTCATCAAGGGAAGCCAAATGCTTGCTGGTTTCCCTTGCATTCAATGCTACGGGCGTCAACAATATCATACTAGACAGCATCAGATAGATGGGCTACACATAGAGACAGAGGGACGCTGTTTCGCTTGGATGCTTTCTCCGGTGAGATACATTCAGCCTCTTGCGAATTGAAAATTATGACACAGAGAGACAAAAGATAAAATACATATTTATTTATTTTTTCTTTGTAAAGCTTTTGGGGAAGCCTGGCTTCCCTTCGCATCCATGCCACTGCATATCACCATATCAGGGCGACATCCAGGACTTGGATCCCTAATCACATGACATTGGTTATGGCTTCTCACTTTTCTTCTGGAGTTTTAATGGAGGGACTTTTTCTTGTCATATTCACAGCCTGAAATATTTCGCTGGCAGAAGTACTGAGCAGGCCTTTGAAATATTTTGCAGGTTTTTAACAAACTTTATAGCCTGAAATATTTCGCTGGTTTAAATATTGAGCAGGCCTTTGAAGTATTTCACAGCCTACCAAACTTCTCAGGCCTTTCAAATATTTCAACGCCTTTTAACAAACTTTGCAGCCTATTATTTTGAAAGCTGGTTTGTTTGCCTCTTAGGGTCACAGTACAAAGCAAATTACATTATTTGTATTTGTATTTATTATGGATCCCCATACTCTTCCTGGGATCCGGCAAAATTAAGGCAGTTATACAATTTTAAAAACATTACAATACATTCATAACAGATTTCACAAGACACTAAGTGTGTGCCCTCAGGCCCCTAATCCACTACCACATATCTACAACACAAAATCCATGTGTACGTGTGTGTATAGTGCGTATGTTATCATGTGTGTGTATGCATGTGTCTGTGCCTATGTTTGTGTTGCTTCACAGTCTCCGCTGTTCCATAAGGTGTATTTGTATCTGTTTTTTAATCTGATTCTACTGCTTGCATCAGTTACCTGATGTGGAATAGAGTTCCATGTAGTCATGGCTCTATGTAGTACTGTGCGCCTCCCATAGTCTGTTCTGGACTTGGGGACCGTGAAGAGACCTCTGGTGGCATGTCTTGTGTGGTATGAAATGGTGTCTGAGCTGTGTGCTAGTCGTTTAAACAGACAGCTCGGTGCTTTCAACATGTGATTAAGTCAATCTCTCCTCCACTTTGAGCCAGGAGAGATTGACATGCATATTATTCATGTTTGCTCTATGTGTACATCCAAGGGCCAGCCGTGCTGCCCTGTTCTGAGCCAATTGCAATTTTCCTAAGTCCCTCTTTGTGGCACCTGACCACACGACTGAACAGTAGTCCAGGTGCGACAAAACTAGAGCCTGTAGGACCTGCCTTGTTGATAGTGTTGATAGTGTTGTTAAGAAGGTAGAGCAGCACTTTATTATGGACAGACTTCTCCCCATCTTAGCTACTGTTGTATCAATATGTTTTGTTTACAATCCAGGGTTACTCCAAGCCATTTAGTCACCTCAACTTGCTCAATTTTCACATTATTTATTACAAGATTTAGTTTAAGTTTACAATGCTTTTTGTTTTTGCCCTGGGGAATTACTAATTCTACCTGGATTTATCCACAATATAGCAGGGGGTGTAAAGCCATAACACATACGTTTTTCCAGCAGCAGACTATGATCGATAATGTCAAAAGCTGCACTGAAGTCGAACAAAACAGCCCCCACAATCTTTTTATCATCAATTTCTCTCAGCCAATCATCAGTCATTTGTGTAAGTGCTGTGCTTGTTGAATTTTCTTCCCTGTAATTATTCGGAAAGTCTGTTGTCAATTTGTTTATTGTAAAATAGCATTGTATCTGGTCAAACACAATATATTCCAAAACTTTACTAAGGGTTGGTAACAGGCTGATTGGTCGGCTGTTTGAGCCAGTAAAGTGGGCTTTACTATTCTTAGGTAGCGGAATTACTTTTGCTTCCCTCCAGGCCTGAGGGCACACATTTTCTAGTAGGCTTAAATTGAAGATGTGGCAATATCGTCCGCTATTATCCTCAGTAATATTCCATCCAAGTTGTCAGACCCCGGTGGCTTGTTATTGTTGATAGACAACAATAGTTTTTTCACCTCTTCCACACTCCCTTTACGGAATTCAAAATTACAATGCTTGTCTTTCATAATTTGGTCAGATACAGTGAGGGGAAAAAAGTATTTGATCCCCTGCTGATTTTGTATGTTTGCCCACTGATAAAGACATGATCAGTCTATAATTTTAATGGTAGGTTTATTTGAACAGTGAGAGACAGAATAACAACAACAGAAATCCAGAAAAACGCATGTCAAAAATGTTATTAATTGATTTGCATTTTAATGAGGGAAATAAGTATTTGACCCCTCTACAAAACATGACTTAGTACTTGGTGGCAAAACCCTTGTTGGCAATCACAGAGGTCAGACATTTCTTGTAGTTGGCCACCAGGTTTGCACACATCTCAGGAGGGATTATGTCCCACTCCTCTTTGCAGATCTTCTCCAAGTCATTAAGGTTTCGAGCCTGACGTTTGACAACTCGAACCTTCAGCTCCCTCCACAGATTTTCTATGGGATTAAGGTCTGGAGACTGGCTAGGCCACTCCAGGACCTTAATGTGCTTCTTCTTGAGCCACTCCTTTGTTGCCTTGGCCGTGTGTTTTGGGTCTTTGTCATGCTGGAATACCCATCCACAACCCATTTTCAATGTCCTGGCTGAGGGAAGGAGTTTCTCACCCAAGATTTGACGGTACATGGCCCCGTCCATCGTCCATTTGATGCGGTGAAGTTGTCCTGTCCCCTTAGCAGAAAAACACCCCCAAAGCATAATGTTTCCACCTCCATGTTTGACGGTGGGGATGGTGTTCTTGCGGTCATAGGCAGCATTCCTCCTCCTCCAAACACGGCGAGTTGAGTTGATGCCAAAGAGCTCGATTTTGGTCTCATCTGACCACAACATTTTCACCCAGTTCTCCTCTGAATCATTCAGATGTACATTGGCAAACTTCAGACGGGCCTGTATATGTGCTTTCTTGAGCAGGGGGACCTTGCGGGCGCTGTAGGATTTCAGTCCTTCACAGCGTAGTGTGTTACCAATTGTTTTCTTGGTGACTATGGTTCCAGCTGCCTTGAGATCATTGACAAGATCCTCCCGTGTAGTTCTGGGCTGATTCCTCACCGTTCTCATGATCATTGCAACTCCACGAGGTGAGATCTTGCATGGAGCCCCAGGCCGAGGGAGATTGACAGTTATTTTGTGTTTCTTCCATTTGCGAATAATCGCACCAACTGTTGTCACCTTCTCACCAAGCTGCTTGGCGATGGTCTTGTAGCCCATTCCAGCATTGTATAGGTCTACGATCTTGTCCCTGACATCCTTGGAGAGCTCTTTGGTCTTGGCCATGGTGGAGAGTTTGGAATCTGATTGATTGATTGCTTCTGTGGACAGGTGTCTTTTATACAGGTAACAAGCTGAGATTAGGAGCACTCCCTTTAAGAGTGTGCTCCTAATCTCAGCTCGTTACCTTAATAAAAGACACTTAGGAGCCAGAAATCTTTCTGATTGAGAGGGGGTCAAATACTTTTTTCCCTCATTAAAATGCAAATCAATTTATAACATTTTTGACATGCGTTTTTCTGGATTTTGTTGTTGTTATTCTGTCTCTCACTGTTCAAATAAACCTACCATTAAAATTATAGACTGATCATGTCTTTGTCAGTGGGCAAACGTACAAAATCAGCAGGGGATCAAATACTTTTTTCCCTCACTGTATACTTGGATGTGTAGTGTCAGCGTTTGTTGCTGGCATGTCATGCCTAAGTTTGCTAATCTTGCCAAGTGCAACGTCTGTTTGCTCCTCATTACACACCAGGGACCAACAAATATTCTTTACATCAACAACATAGGAATCACTACAAAACTTATACAAAACTGCAAAACGTATACACTATGTTAGGCCCAGCCTTTGGAACTTTGGTTTTCCTAGATATGGCTACTATATTGTGATCACTACATCCGATGGATCTGGATACTGCTTTCAAGCATTATCGTCTGAGACAACAGAGTACATGTTCACACTGGAGAAGTGTGTACTTCACGGATGAATCCTGGTTTCAACTGTACCGCGCAGATGGCAGACGTTGATGTCAACGTTGTGAACAGAGTGCCCTATGGTGGCGGTGGGGCTATGGTATGGGCAGGCATAAGCTACAGACAACGAACACAATTGCATTTTATCGATGGCAATTTGAATGCACAGAGATACCGTGACGAGATCCTGAGGCCCATTGTTGTGCCATTAATCTGCTACCATCACCTCATATTTCAGCATGATAATGCATGGCCCCATGCCGCAAGGATCTGTACACAATTCCTGGAAGCTGGAAATGTCCCAGTTCTTCCATGGCCTGCATACTCATCAGACATGTCACCCATTAAGCATGTTTGGGATGCTCTGGATCGACGTGTACGACAGCGTGTTCCAGTTCCCACCAATATCCAGTAACTTCGCACAGCAATTGAAGAGGAGTGGGACAACATTCCACAGGCCACAATCAACAGCCTGACCAACTCTATGCGAAGGAGATGTGTCGCGCTGCATGAGGCAAATGGTGGTCACACCAGATACTGACTGGTTTTCTGATCCATGCCCTTACCTTTTTTTTAAGGTATCTTTGACTAACAGATGCATATCTGTATTCCCAGTAATGTGAAATCCAGAGATTGGGGCCAAATTTATTTATTTCAATTGACAGATTTCCTTATATGAACTGTAACATTGATAAGCAGGGCGTATACTTCGTCATATCAAATAACACAATAACAAACGTTTACACAGCAAGTGGTTCATTGAAACAGACTGAGCAGTGTTCAGGGACTCAGACATAGATCTGTATGTGCAAAGTTGAAATTAATTAAAGAACGCACATTTTAGTGAGGTGCTGAATTTCCTTGCTAAGACAGAATAATATGGTATCCAGAATAATAACATCTTACCCAATCTGATAGCAGTAATATAAAGCTATGTAGTGGTTTTGACACACTACTGAAGTTGAGGTGTAATTTGTGTGTAATTACCTTTTTAGCACATTATTGTGGTAATTATGTCACCTGCTGGTCATGTTAAGTATTCTATTTCCAATCAATTTCTCTCATTTTGCTCTCTGTCTTCTGTATTTACTATTCTGTTCTCCTGATGTATTTTTCTGTCTATAACATCTGACTCTTATGTTCCCCTGTCCCCTTGACCTCCTCCCCCTTTCTTTCTCTTTTCATATCTCCTTTCCTCTGCTTTCTTTCTTTCTTTTTCTTTTCTTTCTCTCTCTAGATGTCATATAACATGGTATGGGTGTGTAACCGGCTGCGTCGAATGAAGCTGCTATGTAAGACTAGTGCACTGGCGGACGAGGAACTGGTGAGTAAGGCTGCCATGACAGTCCAACCAAGAGTTACACTTGAACGAAACCCATTACATTATGGTAATAAAGTGTGCCCCTTATTTCAACCTCTATTGCTAAAAATGCTATTAATTGCAAAATATTTATTCTATACATAAAATATTTCCAGGCTTTGAAAACGAACAGGTGATATAGCCTACTGTATCATTAACTCACGGCTTATCATCCAAGCTTTGCTTATCTCTTTTGATGTGTTGGATGATATCATCAGCAATTGAAAAGCAGGCCAAATATTTTGAGAGAAATTAGTGAGGAGTTCCAGAGTAAGGAAAATCACATAAATAAATAAAAAGGGTAGAAAACATTGCAAAGAACTTGACTGTATTTAAATACAAGCAATGTTGTACATGTACCATAGTTGCTGGAACCGTTCTGGAAAGAACAATGTGAAAGAAAATAACCGAGCCAGCACACTATGATTTGTGTCTGCCCTATAGTGTGAATCAGGTAACTAACCTGCTATATCTCTCCTCGTCAACAGAGACAGTGTGAGAGTGACCAGGAGGACACAGAGACCAAGCCAGCATCTCTCATTCGCCGGCGACTCAGCAGCAGTTCATAGACTCGACCACCAGGTGGGAGTCAGCATCAAGCTGCAGTGCACACTTCCCATTACAGTGACCTAACCAAGCCTACAGTATTTGCCCTCCCCTTTACCAGGCCTCGAGGGAGGGTAAGAGGATAAGATGGGCACACAATAAGGAATTTTCAGGCTCTATGTCCCTACATGAGACTTTTCCCTGATGAAGTGGAATGGAATCTACAGAACAATTCTTGCCTATCAAGCTATTTCCCGAAAGGCCCGTCAAGGCTTAACTTTAGGTTCAATGCACTTCAGGTGGATTGAAAGTGGTGGAGGTAGTTCTACTAAGTGCACAAATACAAGTGTGTGATGGCTTCCGTGAGTGAGAAATCATTTTAAAAGGCTCTCGATGGGGTAAAACGCAAGAAAACCAAGCATTACTTGTTTTTCGAGCTCTGCTCAGTATTACTGTGGTTTATTGCATGTTTTTATGGTGCTTTTGCAGTTGTAAAGGTCAACTGATAGCAGGTGTGACAATATTGTTCTTATGGTGAAGTTACTGATTTGGGGATGTACAGTACTAGATTGCACCATGTAGGGTTGTTTAAACCTGAGGCATATCTGTACGTCTAGTATTCTTCCAATAAAAGGGTGGATGGAAATTGAACGCAAACCTCAGAATTTAGTAGGTTTTAGTCTTCCAAATGTGTTTTTGACAATTTTATTAAGCTTTCATTACTTTACCAAATATGAATATATTATGTTATATACAGTATAATAGAATTATACAATATAATGCTATACAATATCTATATCGTAGTGTCCTGAACATGATTACCAAGTGTTCTCGTATTGTACATGCATGATGGACGAATGTTTTAAGATAACTAACCAGTATAAATAGCACAGCAAATCAACTTTTAAAGGTTCTACTCATAGAAATAGGATGAAGAATGAATTCCAGTTCTGTGTTTCTACTAATCCAATACTGACTTCCTGCATACAGTGAATACTCTGAACACTCAATGCTTTACTGAACCAGTAGGATTACTGACAAGATCATACAGTGATGTATGAGAAATAACGTGACATCATGTTGGTCGATGAATTGTATTTTTGTGAGAATTGTTTTTGTTTTCTGTTTCTCTAAGAAGTTTAAGAATGTAATTTTTTTTGTTTTATTTTATCATAACCTTGTGAAAATACCTAACGACTGTCCGTGTTAAGTGTGGTTATTTTAAATAAAATAACATTGTTGTCAACAGGTTTTGTGAATACATTTTGGAATCATCCCCCTTGCAAACTTTTCAAATCATAGGGAATAGAAAAATAGTGTAGGCCATACTTTTTAATCAGCTCTTAATGTTCTAACTCGGACCAGCTTTGCACCTCTGCACTAGTTTACCTCTGCAATGTGTCATTGTTGTTCAGATGCGACTTGACTGCTGTTAAGTGGCATCCATCCCTCAAAAAAGTGTTTAGGTAAATAGGAGCATGACCATTGTGTAATAACCCATTCATGGATCTGTAGACTATATTTTGAGGATTTTCCCATTAAAATAGATTCATTTGTTTATTAAAAAACGACCTTTCAGAGGACTGCAGATTGGGGTTCCAACGGGGTCTCAACAGTCTTGTCGCCCTCTGCAGGAGAAAACCACAAAGTACATAAACGAATACATGGAGAGATTATTAATACAGAAAAAAAACAGTAGTGAATTGATAGCCTAATGTGGTCCATTATCAACCTGAAATTAGTTTATATAATAAATAGCCTCATGAAATGTCTAGGCTTTTACTAAAATAGTCTAGGCCTATATGAATACACTTCTGTGAGCGAGAAAGCATTTTGGAATGACATTTTAATCTATAATATCTTGTTTTACATAGGCTACTATTAAAGAGTCGACAAAAACAAAACATGAACTATAGAACAATATTTCAAGGTGCACTCCATGTGATTTCTATAAATCATATCAATCGGTAATCAAGCGGTAAGTTGAAATTCAAATAAAGTTCCATTTATAGGTTTAGCAAAATTCCAAAAGCGTTCTCTTTTTTAATTACCCAATGATGTGTAATAAACTCGTCGAATAAAAGGTGCATGAGTGCGTTTCAGTCGAGAGGAGGGAGTGACGGTTCTCGTTTGAAGACCAAGGGGCAACACGACAAGAAAATCTTTGGCTACACTCCTGAGACCGGACAACAAGCAAATTACTGTAGACTTCGTGTAAACATTCGACCTGTAAAACGTTTGGCAGTATTCTCAAGAAGCAGTCGAGTTGGTGTTTTAAAACTCGTTTCCTTTTGGACCGCTTGGAAAGGGTTCTTTTCTCTGGAACTATTTATTGGTGCTTCGCGCAGAAGCGGATTGGTTTAAACCCAAGAAGAAAGGTAAAAACCGCCAACAGAACTTCTTATTCAAAATATCACTATGAAAAAAGTTTATACACCACAAAATTATTTTATCAACTAAAGCAGTAGTCCAGTTGTATTTCAGTGAGCGAATGTTTCGTGGAGTCAGATGCGAGCATCTTCCATCAAAAACGTTAATTCGTCTCATTTTATTCACATTTGCGTTGATTTAGCCAACGTTTTCATGACCACACTATATTTTCGCGTAATTATCTTACATACAATTATACTGTAGCCTAATTATTACCTTGTATGCAATATACTACGACTTGCTTACCTCTCAGTTTAGAGATCTATAAAATGGCAATGTTTTCACCGTTCAGAGCAAACCGTGCAGGTGGTTTACACTAAGTGAAATATCTCCAAACGTATGCTGAACAGAAATATAAACGCAACATGTAAAGTGTTGGTCCCATGTTTCATGAGCTGAAATAAAAGATCCCAGAAATGTTCAATAGGCACAAAAAGTGTATTTATCACAAATGTGTTTACATCCCTGTTAGTGAACATTTCTCCTCTGCCAAGATAATCCATCCTCCTGACAGGTGTGGCATACCAAGAAGCTCATTAAACAGCATGATCATTACACACGTGCACCTTGTGCTGGTTACAATAAAAGGCCACTCTAAAATATGCAGTTTTGTCACACAACACAATGCCACAGATGTCTCAAGTTCCGAGGGAGTGTGCAATTGGCATGCTGACTGCAGGACTGTCCACCAGAGCTGTTGCCAGAGAGTTGAATGTTAATTTCTCTATCATAAGCCGCCTCCAACATCGTCTTTTAGAGAATTTGTCAGTACGTCCAACCAGCCTCACAACCGCAGACCACGTGTATGGCGTCGTGTGGGCGAACGGTTTGCTGATGTCAACGTTGTGAACAGAGTGCCCAATGGTGGCGCTGGGGTTATGGTATGGGCAGGCATAAGCTACGACAACGAACACAATTGCATTTTATCGATGGGAATTTGAATGCACATTACCCATAAGCACTCCGTTACGTTGTGCTGGATGTCATGCATTTCAAGGGGGAGGTCCACAATGGAGTGGAAACAACGCCCCCTTGCGTTTGAACGCACCGTTGCGGGACGGATGCTGCATACTTAGACATTTTCCAAACTTTGCGTTGTCTTCAGTCCAGCCAGAGTCCATCGAAGAACACAGAAGATGAAAATATGTGGTTTTCGGTTATGGCTTTATGGTATAGCTAGCAACTTCTAAACAATTACCCATTCCTATAACTGAGTACTAGTTTAATAGTAATGTTAAATAATACACATTGGCTGTTAAGCCAATTATATTCAAATCAAATCAAATCAAATTTTATTGGTCACATGCGCCGAATACAACAGGTGCAGACATTACAGTGAAATGCTTACTTACAGCCCTTAACCAACAGTGCATTTATTTTAAACAAAAAAGTAAAAATAAAACAACAACAACAAAAAAAGTGTTGAGAAAAAAAAGAGCAGAAGTAAAATAAAGTGACAGTAGGGAGGCTATATATACAGGGGGGTACCGTTGCAGAGTCAATGTGCGGGGGCACCGGCTAGTTGAGGTAGTTGAGGTAATATGTACATGTGGGTAGAGTTAAAGTGACTATGCATAAATACTTAACAGAGTAGCAGCAGCGTAAAAAGGATGGGGTGGGGGGGCAGTGCAAATAGTCCGGGTAGCCATGATTAGCTGTTCAGGAGTCTTATGGCTTGGGGGTAGAAGCTGTTGAGAAGTCTTTTGGACCTAGACTTGGCACTCCGGTACCGCTTGCCGTGCGGTAGCAGAGAGAACAGTCTATGACTAGGGTGGCTGGAGTCTTTGACAATTTTGAGGGCCTTCCTCTGGCACCGCCTGGTATAGAGGTCCTGGATGGCAGGAAGCTTTGCCCCAGTGATGTACTGGGCCGTACGCACTACCCTCTGTAGTGCGTTGCGGTCGGAGGCCAAGCAGTTGCCATACCAGGCGGTGATGCAACCAGTCAGGATGCTCTCGATGGTGCAGCTGTAGAATTTTTTGAGGATCTGAGGACCCATGCCAAATCTTTTTAGTCTCCTGAGGGGGGATAGGCTTTGTCGTGCCCTCTTCACGACTGTCTTGGTGTGTTTGGACCATGATAGTTCGTTGGTGATGTGGACACCAAGGAACTTGAAGCTCTCAACCTGTTCCACTACAGCCCCGTCGATGAGAATGGGGGCGTGCTCAGTCCTCTTTTTTTTCCTGTAGTCCACAATCATCTCCTTTGTCTTGGTCACGTTGAGGGAGAGGTTGTTGTCCTGGCACCACACGGCCAGATCTCTGACCTCCTCCCTATAGGCTGTCTCATCGTTGTCGGTGATCAGGCCTACCACTGTTGTGTCGTCGGCAAACTTAATGATGGTGTTGGAGTCGTGCCTGGCCATGCAGTCATGGGTGAACAGAGAGTACAGGAGGGGACTGAGCACGCACCCCTGAGGGGCCCCCGTGTTGAGGATCAGTGTGGCAGATGTGTTGTTACCTACCCTTACCACCTGGGGGCGGCCCGTCAGGAAGTCCAGGATCCAGTTGCAGAGGGAGGTGTTTAGTCCCAGGATCCTTAGCTTAGTGATGAGCTTAGAGGGCACTATGGTGTTGAATGCTGAGCTGTAGTCAATGAATAGCATTCTCACGTAGGTTTTCCTCTTGTCCAGGTGGGAAAGGGCAGTGTGGAGTGCAATAGAGATTGCATCATCTGTGGATCTGTTGGGGCGGTATGCAAATTGTAGTGGGTCTAGGGTTTCTGGGATAATGCTGTTGATGTGAGCCATGACCAGCCTTTCAAAGCACTTCATGGCTACAGACGTCAGTGCTACGGGTCGGTAGTCATTTAGGCAGGTTATCTTAGAGTCCTTGGGCACGGGGACTATGGTGGTCTGCTTGAAACATGTTGGTATTACAGACTCAGTCAGGGACATGTTGAAAATGTCAGTGAAGACACTTGCCAGTTGGTCAGCACATGCTCGGAGTACACGTCCTGGTAATCCGTCTGGCCCTGCGGCCTTGTGAATGTTGACCTGCTTAAAAGTCTTACTCACATCGGCTACGGAGAGCGTGATCACATAGTCATCCGGAACAGCTGGTGCTCTCATGCATGCTTCAGTGTTGCTTGCCTCGAAGCGAGCATAGAAGTGGTTTAGCTCGTCTGGTAGGCTTGTGTCACTGGGCAGCTCGCGGCTGTGCTTCCCTTTGTAGTCTGTAATAGTTTTCAAGCCCTGCCACATCCGACGAGCGTCAGAGCCAGTGTAGTACGATTCAATCTTAGACCTGTATTGACTCTTTGCCTGTTTAAAGGTTCGTCGGAGGTCATAGCGGGATTTCTTATAAGCGTCCGGGTTAGAGTCCCGTTCCTTGAAAGCGGCAGCTCTACCCTTTAGCTCAGTGCGGATGTTTCCTGTAATCCATGGCTTCTGGTTGGGGTATGTACGTACGGTCACTGTGGGGACGACATCATCGATGCACTTATTGATGAAGCCAGTGACTGATGTGGTGTACTCCTCAATGCTGTCTGAAGAATCCCGGAACATGTTCCAGTCTGTGCTAGCAAAACAGTCCTGTAGCTTAGCATCTGCGTCATCTGACCACTTTTTTATTAACCGAGTCACTGGTGCTTCCTGCTTTAGTTTTTGCTTATAAGCAGGAATCAGGAGGATAGAGTTATGGTCAGATTTGCCAAATGGAGGGCGAGGGAGAGCTTTGTATGCGTCTCTGTGTGTGGAGTAAAGGTGGTCTAGAGTTTTTTTCCCTCTGGTTGCACATTTAACATGCTGGTAGAAATGAGGTAGAACGGATTTAAGTTTCCCTGCATTAAAGTCCCCGGCCACTAGGAGCGCTGCATCT